TTCTTCACTCTTTGTCCTTATCAGTCAACCAATCATATATTAAATAGGGAGGGACTTGTCTGAAAATGGAGGAGAGGCTTTAATTTTGCAATTTTAATGAAATTGCAAAATTTTTCCGAACTCTATCCAACTGATTTCGGTGCCTATCCTTCCGTAAAAGTGTCTAACATAGCGTGATCTTTTCCCAAACCTAACCGCTTAGTGTTTGTGCATAAACTTAACCAGACAATGAATAAAACTGAAAGTAAACAACGATTTGAAATGAACCCAGATCTACTGGGTGGAAAGTCTGCTTGCTGGTTGATGTCACCATCCATCACTCGCATCTTGTAAGTTGGATTTTGTCCCTTTTTCAAACTGGCTGCCGTTCTGACCATGTGACAGGTCAGAAGTTACATATTTTTCCAAAACATAATTGAGGATGCAGTTTGCTTGTGTAGGAATGCAATTTTGTGGAGACCATGTTGGCACAAGGCTTCCATTTGCAGTGTAGACAGGAAAAAATGGAGTTTTGGCTTGTGAGAGTCAGAATTATCTCCTTTGTTTAGATGAAGCGGTTTTGGTTTGATTTGTTTGATGCGTTTTTGCATTGATGTGTGGACACAGATTTCTTTGGAGAGAAGGATGAAAAACACCCATGTACACGTGAACTAGGCCTTAGGGACGAGGAACATGCCACACAGACATCTTCCAACACTTCCTCGGGTGAGGATGATGAGCTAGCAGATGATCAGTCCCTCAGAATGCACGTAACTAATTAGAAGGCTCACCTTTTAAAAAAAAAAGTATCAAACAATCTCCAATAAACAACAATTACATCACTGTTTCCCCTAAGCTGATTAAAATTAAAATAGATTCATCCTAAAATCCTCTTATTCATAATGACAACAACAATATTAGCCTCATGGTAGGTCTCAGAGTAAGACTAGGTTGTTTTATACTGCAGAAACTTGTGCTTTGTGCTAGTTCCGACCACAAGAACCTTTTTTTAGGGTTGTTTTGGAGGGAGAAAAGTCCCTACTCTGGGGTAGGTACGTCTGAGCGACCCTGAAAATCTGTTGTGTGGACAAGACAAACACTGGTTGGTTAAGGAAGTCTTATGTCTGACATCTCCATAGACGTGTAGAGCACCAGTCTCCTCGTCTCTAACGCCATCATCTTCAGTGTATAAACTCAACATAACAAATCTATCATTGGTCATTTTCCACAGTGCTCATAGATCTACATCCAGTGTTAACTCTGTGTCACTGTTTTGAAGCATTTAGAGTTAACATCATGGTCGAACCCTTCAGCAAAATTGAAATTGAAAGGCTAAAAAGGGCCGATTATGGGTGGTTGCTGTTAACGTTGGCACCACTTGCACCTGCCCATAGAAAGCTGCAGAAACGACACATTTCTACACTGTTCTAGTTACCTCACGAGTGTCTCTCCAAATAAGCAGCAGGATAAGATGATGTCCTGTTTTACCACTTTTCAAGAGGCTACTTTAAAACAGTGAAATAAAGGGATTTTGCTTAAGTTGATTCAGAGGTTGTAGTGATTAAAAATGATTTTTTTGCAACCAGTAATTCTAACAGTTTAAAAGAAGTCTTGAAGTGGACGTGGCTGGACAGCGAGCACGTCCACCATCGCCTGTCCCAACACTAAGCAATGTCTCCATTAGGTGCTGTAGGAAGTCAACACAAAGTAATTACACTCAACCTCAAGCAAACATGAGCTCAGCCCACGGAGAGAAAAACACATTACACAGCAGGAGCATCGGTGAGGGCGAATGAGAAGTCACGGCTCCAGTGTTTCTCAGGTAGTCATCTCAACAAACCCCACAATTTATGCATTTGGTTGTTTGGTTACTTGGTGTTTTCACTTTTGGAGTTTCCCAAAGCACAAAGACTCCGTTGTGAATCATTTGATGAAGGCATGTCTTGGCATGACCTTTTTTTTTGCAGCATTTCAGCTCCTGCAGAATATGCATTTTTTGTTAGTTAAAGAGGAGGAAAGTTTATCTTACTATACTGTATGCATTGATGAAAAGCATCCAGCAGTGACGCAACAGTGTGAAACGTTTTGGGGAAAATTGTGTTTTTGTTGAAGTGCATCAAAAGTGCAAGAGGTTCAATGATCTTTGGGTGGTGAAGGAGGGGGTTGTTGGAGGGGATGCAGCTTCAGGTCCCGCCTCGAGCGTGGGCAGTGACGTCATATATTTAAGGAGTCAGGGATCCGAGCTGCACAGTTTTCTCCACAGAGGAGTCGGAGCAGACCGGAGAACGCATTCGCATCGGACCGGAGCGCACAGAGAGAGGTAGTGTGTCTTTTCACTTTTCAGAAAATGGACTTTTATGAATCAGACGACGTGGTTGGTAAAAGAAAAACTACCGCAATTAAACAGTAAAGCATGTATTTATGAGTTTATTGGACCTCCGGCGTGCGTCCTAGCCGGCAATATTTGTTTTTAAAGTCGACCAAGGTCTCCATAAGAAATCGAGTTGGTTTGAAGCTGTGTGTGCGTTATGTGCAATTCAGAAAGACAAAAGCAGCAGCTGTCTTTTGTGCATCAGATTGACTTTATCGTGGTTTGAGCAGCAACTTTTGCGCATCAAATTGGGTTCCGTTTTGCTTCTTTTTTTTTTTTTTTACATCTGAATTTTACGCGCTGGAGGGGAAGCTTGGTGCGCGTTTTACATGATTGTTAAGCTTCTAATTTGCATCCAAAGTTGGCCAAATTTCCTCAGAATGTCATTATAATTTGTCTTTATGTCATTTATGGTTTAGGAAAAGGATATGGTTTTGTGAAAAGGAGCTTGATTTGTTCAAGTCATGTCAGGATATTCTACTGACCTGTTTTTGGAAATGACATGATGGAGCTGAATTTGGCAAGTCATTACCACAGAGTGGGCTGAACCCTTAGTTGTGTTTAAAAGTGTGGTTTCTGTGGACTGTTTCAAGCCTAAATCTAAAAGGTTAACATGATGATTTGCTCCTGCTGCAGGTTCCAAGACAATGATGGAGCTAATGACTGCTACCCCTTTCTACCTCCTCAACACAACGGATGACAGCGGAAGAAATGGCTCTCTGTATGACGACAGCGACGAGTACGACTACAAGGATGAGCATGGTGAGCTGAGGCAGTCTCTCAACATCATGTCCCTCATAGTTTACTGCCTCGCCTTCGTCCTCGGCGTGCTCGGCAACGGAGTGGTCATCTGGGTGACCGGGTTCAAGATGAAGAAAACAGTGAACACGGTTTGGTTCCTCAACCTGGCCGTGGCCGACTTCCTCTTCACAGCGTTCCTGCCCCTCAGTGTGACGTACACAGCTATGGATTTCCACTGGCCCTTCGGCAAGTTCATGTGCAAGCTGAACACCACCATAAGCTTTCTGAACATGTTCGCCAGCGTCTACGTTCTGGTGGTGATCAGCGTGGACAGATGTGTGTCGGTGGTTTGGCCGGTTTGGGCGCAGAACCACCGAAATGTTGAGAAGGCCTCTTGTGTGAGTCTTGGAGTTTGGGTGCTGGCTTTGATCCTCAGTGCTCCCTACTTCATCTTCAGGGACATCGGGCCGTCGTATCACAACGAGGACATCATCAACTGCTTCAACAACTTCGCCTTTTCCGATGACTACGAAACGCCCGCCGTGAACCAGCTGCGAAAGTTTCGCCACCAGGCCATGACCATCACCCGCTTCCTCCTGGGGTTCGTCGTCCCCTTCACCGTCATCGTCTCCTGTTACGGCGTCATCATCCACCGCCTCAGGAGAAACCCAACCCTGGCCAGCCAGTCCAGCCGACCCTTTAAGATCATCGCTGCCATCATCATCACTTTTTTCCTGTGCTGGGCTCCATTTCACATCATGGGCCTTGTTGAGCTGGTCAACCACATGGCTAATTATGCAAGCGAAACACTGGATCACGTCACCACTATCGGGGTCCCCATAGCCACAAGCCTGGCCTTTCTCAACAGCTGCCTGAACCCACTGCTGTATGTGTTCATGGGCCAAGATTTCAAGGATAAAGTCCGCAAATCCATCCTGAATGTACTGGAGACGGCCTTCCAGGAGGAGGTGTCTCGCTCTTACACCTACACAAACTCAATGGTCACCAGTCGGAGCAAAGAGAAGTCAGTTTCTGATGCTGAGGTGTAGAGCTGTCGATCTGACCAGCGAACAAATGCATAAACTGTACATAATAGTAAATGTAACTGTATATAACAAACAAATAACTTTTTAACTGTTTAACTGTTTTTTTTTTTTTGTTGTCATTAAGATCCTTTCAGACATTCTCGTCCACATGACATGAGGGAAAGACTTCATCGGTTACAATTTGACTGCTCGGATCAACAGATCTTTACAAAAACACATATTACATAGTATGTAATTTATACATACCTCCACCAACCTGCATGCACACATCCAAATTAAGCAACCCATGGTGCTACTTTTATCTGATGAGTACTCGTGGTGCTTCATTATGTCGTCGTGTTTTCAGCTGCACTCTGTTAGACCTAATCGATGGCATTTTGTCAAGAAGAAAAAGAAACCCTAATTTGAAAATCCTTGCTTGTGGTTGAATGTGTGCAAAACAAGCTACATGAAAAGGTAACATTTAGTTGATTATAAATCGTGTGCACTCCAGATGTTGTTTACGATGTTGTTGCCTGTGCATGACAGAAAAGAAAATAATTCCAGTGGCAGTTATGTAAAGGTCATAACTGTGGCTTTCGCTCGCGTTGGCAGCACAGCATCTAAACAACATGTGATAAAGGTCGTTGCGCAGAGAACTTGACGTCTTTCCTGTTGCACAAAATATAGCTGGCTGTAAAGTACAAGAAAGTTCTATAGCGTGAAAGGTTGTCGCTCGGTCAACACAAATCGACTCATCCCAAATTCACTTCCCTTTCTCACACAATTCTACACAGGAACTGATCCCACTTTGACCGTACATGACAAAATTGGGAACACGTCGCTTCCCACAAAGGCCGTCTTTGTGCACATTCAGTTTTTTTTGTTCCTTATTGGTGTAAGAAGCACCTGTTTGCCATCAATTCTGTCACCTCACATCACCACAGAAACGGCTGGAGCTGATTGCTACACGTCTACCGCATGCTTTGCTAAACACGTTATTTACATTTGTTATTCGGCATAAGGACAGTCTAATGTAATCCTATATATGATAGTGGCTATAAGATTATTATGCTTAAAGCAGCAGCTGCCTTGTACATTTGGCTTTGTTTGATCTTTTGATGTATTTTTGGGTGCCAGAGCAGTGAGGGGTTAATATCTGCGACCTTCACTCTAATTACATGCATGTTGTGCTGTAATCTAAGGATTTTTTGCTCTCAAAGATTTTCAGGTTATTGTCAAAAAAGACAGGTGATCTATTATTGTCATTGTAGAAGCAGGAATCTTTTTTTTTTTTTTTTAATATAGTTTTGCCTCAAAAAATTAACTCAGGAAATCAATCAACTTCTTGCCAAATGATTTTCTTTCAATTGAACAATTAATATGTTTGTTTTTTAAAATATATTATAGGACTGCTATTTTCTAAGACTTTTATAATTTCAAAGATATTTGAGTTATTGTCAAAAAACACATTATTCTCATTCAGAAGCAGGTTTTTCATATTTTTGCATCAGAAAATGAACTCAGGTAATCAGTCAGGTACCCAACTTGTTGCCAAGTCACTTTCTCTCAGCTGAATAATAAAAATTAAAGACAAAATGTAAGACTTTTGTATCTGTGATATGTCATCATATAGCATGAACCTCTCTATAAAGGGTTAATTCTAATGTATACAATGTAAATGATATTTTTTTACTCAGCCCCGGGGCTCGCTTTAATAAGAGCCTATAACCAGTAATAATGATGATGACTGTTATTGTGGTTGTTGCTGTTACCATTATTCCCATTATTAAAATATTTTTGGGCTTAACTGCCTTTCCACTCGTAATGTACACTTCATAACCACCACACGAGGCATCTCTTTTGTAGAATTGTACAATTATGAAAATGTACTTATCACAAACAGCACACTTGTTATTATGGACTTAACCAACAGAGGGAGCTGTTTTACACAACAGGGGCATCACAGATGAAGAACAGCGAACTGACAAAGAAAAAGCACTGATTTGTTTTGCAGCTTTCAGTGGTGAAAATAATGCAACAGATCTGTGTTAAAGGCTACAAAGTCAGTCAGTGTCTTCTTCAATGTATTCAAAGGATTCTTACGCAGCAATAAACAAGGTATCAGTGCTGTGAAATTCTTAGTTCACTGTCTCCACCTCATTTTGTGATCAATTTATATGCAGAATATATTCATTCAGCCACAAGAATGAAAAAAATAAAGGTGCAATATTTATCTTGCTGAAAAGTTACAATCTGTTCATACGTACTGCAAAAGAAAGTCAAAGTCAAAGTTACCTTATTGTCAGTTCTGCTACACCTGTACACATACAGGAACTCATTTTTAAAAAAACGCAGTTGAAAAAAATACACAAACTAAAAAAACATACAATAGGCTAAAAAAAAAAGAAGTACATGCAACTTAAATAGACAGAGGTAGGCTCTTTGTCAGTTAAATAGTGCTTTGTTAGGCAATATATATGATAAATGTTTTAATATTTACACTGACATGAACCAGGACTGCTGACATTTCTACAAGGCCTCTTGTTTCAATGCACCTTCAGTGTTTATAATCAGTAATATTGTATTTATGGTGGCTTACACTCTCATGTTGTGCCATAATCTGCGACTGTCAGTGTATAATGTCTCTGTTTATTTCAAAGCTGAAACAAGCAAGAAGGTTGCCGGTTCGCGTCCTTGTGGAGGCACCGGAATCTTTCTGCGTTTGCATGTTCTCCCCGTGCAGCGTGGGTTCTCTCCGGGTTCTCCGGCTTCCTCCCACACAGTCCAGAAACATGTTGAGGTTAATTGGTGATTCTAAAATGTCCGTAGGTGTGAATGTGAGTGTGCTTGGTTGTCTGTCTCTAAGTGTAGCCCTGTGATAGACTGGTTACCTGTCCAGGTGAACCTGCCTTCACCCTGAGTCAGCTGGGATAGACTCCAGCACCCCACAACCCTAATGAGGATTAAGCGGTGTATAGAGAATGGATGGATGGATGTTTTATTCAAATCTTCACATCGCTGGTCCTTCGATTGCTTTTTTTTTTTTTGATCAGGAGGCAATAACACAAATCTGTTCAGTTTTAATATAACAATAAACAAAGAAAAACACCAAAAATTCACATTCTTAAAGCAAGAATCATTTACATTTTTTGGCATTCTTGTTCAGACTTGACTACTTTTCAATATTTGCATCCACTGCATAAGTTCCCCAAACTCTGTGACCACTAGAGGAAGCTGTTATACATGTCAGGTGCTGTACAGATCTGATTTGCAGTAGAAACACATCTGTTTGCACAATCAGTCGGTGCGCTGCAGCATTTTTCTGCTTCTTACATGTTTTCCAGTCCAGTACTGCAGGCAGGGAGTGTGTCATCATCAGTCATGTCTGACATTTAGGTATTTTGAGGGGATTTTTTTGCCAACGTCAGCTGTTATCTCTGGCTTTTACATAATTTCCAGTTATTCTGTTGAGCTCAGTCAGACACCATGAGAAGTATGGTATGAATTCTTTGCTGGTAGAAACCTGAATTTACTACCAGCAGGAATTTTGGCAGTGACACAGAGAATACGCTCATCTCAATATTAATATTATAATATAGACAGCACTGGTGAAGGTCACTAATGATCTTCCTATAGCTTCAGACAATGAACTAGTTTCAATACTCGTTTCGCTGGATCTCACTGCTGCATTTGATACAGTGGATCACAGCATCTTATTACAGAGACTGGAATGTTTAACTGGGCTTAAAGGAACTGCACTAAATTGGTTTAAATCATATTGATCACACAGATTCCAGTTTATTCATGTTAATGATGCAGTAGAGTTAGTTATGGAGTTCCACAGGGCTCTGTGTTAGGACCTATATGATTGACCTTTTACATGCTCCCTTTTGGCAATATTATTAGGAAGCACTTCATAAATTTCTACTGTTATGCAGACGACACCCAGCTATATTTATCTATGAAGCCAAATGAAACCAATCAATTGGTAAGACCCAAGTGATGCTGAGAAACTAGTCCATGCATTTATAACTTCTAGACTGGACTATTGTAATTCCTTATTATTAGGATGTCCCAAAAACTCTCTTAAAAACCTCCAGCTGATCCAAAATGCTGCAGCCAGGGGTCTGACAGGAACCAGTAAGAGAGATCATATTTCACCCGTATTAGCTTCCCTTCATTTGTTAAGTTAAGACCCTATTATATTAAATATAACACAGATTTCTTTGACTAAATTAGTAAATATTAAGATTAAAACTCTAAAATATTAGATAAAATACAATTTTACTTGACTGAAATTCATTAATCATGAGGTTAGGACCTTACAATATTATACTGAACACATTTTACGATGCAGACAATGACCATACCATATTTAAATATGCAAATTATCCAAACTAAACTTGGAAATATTAAGGTTAAGGCCTCACAATATTATATGTAAGTCAGATTTACCTCACTTAATGACACTTTCATGGTAATGTTCCAGTCGAAACCGAACTGTAGACAAGAAGTCACTTAGTTAATAGCATCAGTGACATCTAAATAATCCGCCTCTGAAATAAGCTCTATGGTGTAAATAATATTATAGGGAAGTTGTTTAAAATCTGGTGTATTCACTCCTGTTTTATGAAGTAAATGTATGAATACACAGACATAAAGATGAGTGTTCACACTGAGTTTATAGTGCTATCTTGTGCGTTACTGCTTGTGGAAAAACCCTGTGCTTGCTCAAACTCATTGCAGAACTAATGAATATTGTCCAACAACAACGACACAATATCTTCCAGAACTGCACAAAACAAGAGGCTGAGAAGAAGAATCATAGTGAAACAACCTAAAAAATACAGATATTGTGATTTTAGATGTCAGGGGCTGCATAGTTGACTACTTTTCATGTAAGGAGAAATCCGTTATTTTATTAAACTATTTGGTCTAATTAGAGTGAAGCAATCAGACGCTATATGTCCGTTTATTGTGTGAACACAAAACAATACTGGCAAAGTTCGAGCTCCAAAGCACTGTGAGCTTTATCTATCATTAAAGATGATACCGTTGGTTTTCTAGAGCAGTTGAAGTTTATAAAGGAGCAAAAGTAGACAGATTTCAGTTTCAGGTTTACGCAAGTTCCCTGTGTATCCGCCCGAAGGTAGGCGGTGACTGACTCCACACACATCAGTCTATATTAGACTACCACAGTGTGATCAAGGATTCTTCATCTGCAGATTCCTCTACAGACAACTCATATTCTGAAAAAGGTATGTTACCTTTGATTTTTCATTATTGTAGGAATATAAAATCCAGATGCAGACATATAAACTCACATCCTACACTTGATTTAAGCAAACCAGCAATTGATTAAAAGTAGTTTGTCTAAATAAGCAAAGCCAGGAAGCCAGAACAAGAGAAGATGTAAGCTGTCAATGCATAAACATCATCATCACCGTGATCATCATTATCATTAAAAGTAGTAGTAATAATAATAATAATAATAGTTTTTATTTAACACGATATATAATATTGTAGGGTCCCAACATTATTACTCATTCAGTCAGGTTTATTTTTATGATATGTAATAATGATGGGTCTCAAAACTAATATTCACTAATTTACTCTGGTAAATCTGTGTTATAATATTGCAGGATATTTATCGGAATTCCTACTAATTTAGTCAGATAAATTAGATTTATATATAACAGTTTAAGATCTTTTAGGATATCTAGTCAATTAGTCATTTGTATTTTGAATAATATTAAGTCTTAACCATAACATTTATATTATTCTGATAAATTCATATAGTAAAAAAATGCTGTAGGGTCTTAAACATTAGCCTTTAAACTTGCTTGGTTAATTCATAATGACAAAATATTTCTCTATCAGAGAGCACTTTGATTCAATGATTGTTGGTTTAAATGTGTTATAAAAATGACTGGTTTTGTCTTATCAATGTTGTCATTATTATTAGTAGTAGTCGTGGTAGCAGTAGTAGTACGTCATTATTTTTGTCCTTGTTGTTGTCATTGTTGTTGCTGTTTCTTTGGATCTGGAGATACAGTGATTTTTGTTTACTAGAGGTAGAAATTACTAATCATGTTGCTGCTTCAAGCCATTTTGTTCAGTTCGTATATTTTTGTAAGTCAAGTAATCACTTTCCAGATGTACTTCAGGACCAAAATCCTTAAATAAACTCATGACTGTTTATGGTGTTTTAACATCCTGCACTGATTTAGACCACTTCTGGGTTTTGGAAGCTTTTTGAAACTGCTATTTCAAGTTCAGTTCAGCAGCAAAATCAAGGTTGACTTTCATATTTCTTCATGTTGCCACAGCAGGTCTGAAGACTGTGATGGAGGTGACCAATTCCTCTTTCCACAACATCAGCACAACTGCTGCTCCTCCTGGAAATGGCTCCGTGGATTATGACAAGTATGTTGACGTACGGAAGTCTCTGCACATCATGTCCCTCG